TCTTGCCCCTCCCCCGGCTTCCCCTCCTTCCCTCCTCTTCTCCGAGTGTGCCCCATCCTACACCCTCCCTCCCAGAGTTTGAATGCACAAATCAGCTGCTTGCAATGCTCCAGAAGTGCTGGGAGGGAGTGGGAGGTTTTGGTCAGTGTGGGGCTGCTGGGACACACAAGATTTGGGAGGAGGGAGCAGAGAGGGGATGCTTGATACCAGTGAATGCGCTACACCCACTAATTTTTCCCTGTGGGTGCTCCAGCACCGATGTCCAGTGAGGCGTTTCAGAGATAAGATGGGGTGTCAAAATGAGTTTATAGCAGATACAGATGACTAGTAGATTTACTGTGTAAGTGTTAATCAGTGCTCGTCTTCTCCCACCTTTTTTTCTCTCCATGATGTTTGACTTCGTAGATGATAGACTGTGTGTGAATTTACTGATTAAAGCAGGGGAGTGGAAGTTATACTCCTGGATTCTATTCCTGCCTCTGATTGTTGTGTGACTTTAGGGAAGTCATTGAACTTATATGTTCTCCCCAGATTTATCAATCCACAAAATGGGTATAAATTCTGAATGTTTGTAAAATGTTCATGATCCTGTAGGAGAAAAAAGACCAATATCTTGCTCCATGTTTGGATAAAATTGAGGCTTCCGTTGCCATTTTTAAAAGGCTTTTTTTGCTGTATTCATAGTAAAAGAAAATAAATGTATTTTATTTTCATTATAATTTCTAGCTTAAAATCAGCCCATTTTCTCAAGTGTAAAAGGTCTCTGAGGGCATGTCTGCACTTGCTCCCTATCTCGAGATAGGGATGCAAATGTAATATAACGAAATTGCTAATGAAGCGCGGGATTTAAATATCCCACGCTTAATTAGCATAATGGCATCTGGCTGCCATTTTGAAATCGCATTATTCCGAAATAAATGCCCCGTTTAGCAGCATTATTTCAAGAGAAAACCCTTCTCTCAAAATAACTGCTAAACCTCATTTTATGAGGAGTAACAGTTATTTTGAGAGGAGGGTTTTCTCTTGAAATAACTCTGCTACACAAGGCGTTTTATTTCACAGTAACGTGATTTCAAAAAAGCGGCTGGACGCCATTATGCTAATTAAGCGTGGGATATTTAAATCCTGTGCTTCATTAGCAACTTCGTTACATTACATTTGCATCTTTATCTCAAGATAGGGAGCAAGTGTAGACCTGCCCTGAGATAAAATGTCTGTAGCTATGCGTTATGATGCTCTGATTAAACATGTTGATAAAAAACACTTCTGTGTGTTGCAGAAACCTCAAGCCAACTAACATCCTTTTAACTGGTGAAGTATCCTTCATGCTTTGCGATTTCAGTGTAGACACACTTATGACTGATGAAATGAAATGGAAGATAAGAGTGGAAGAAGGTAGCTGTTTAACGTTAATATTTTAGTAGATTGTGTGTGTTTTAGATTTGAGTGTTTTTAACAATTTGATTCTATTACAAAACAAAGAAGGAAACTCTTGATCATTGTAAAAGATCACAAATGAAATTAATTGCTTATGATATGAAAAATTTCACGCTTATATAATTGATTTGTATCTTGCTCAGCCGTCATAAAAATAATTGTTTACCATCTGATGGCAGTTTTGTGGTACATTTAAAATGAGTTTAGAGGTTGTCTGTCTAGTTACAAGTGGACAGATGCCCACATCATGCAAACTACTATCACAGTTGAGAAAAAATATCTTTTAATATTTTGGGAGTCATGAGATGGTTCTAAGCTAAACTGGATTTGTAAGACTCTTTGCAATAATGTGTAAAAAAAAAAAAAAAAAAAAAAATTTAGATCTTGGATAATTGTCATTAATTGAAGTGCGGTTCTTCTATAGCATATCACCAGTAAAAATTCAACTCACTGTACAATCTTTCTGACTGAATTGTACTTGGATGCAAAACTACTATCTACTAGTTACACCCATGCAAGCAAGGAAAAACACTGCAGTGTCAAAACCATTACTGATCTGACATTTATTTCAACAGATCCTGACTCTAAATCCTGGATGTCCCCTGAAGCACTCTGCTTTTCATTTAGTGAGAAGTCTGACATCTGGTCTTTAGGATGTATTCTACTTGATATGGTGACCTGCTTCTTTCTGAAAGTATGTACCACGACCATTTCACTGTGAATTTAGTGTGTCATATAACCCCCAATAGGTCCACAAAGTGAATGCATACAAGGTCTACCAATGTTCTGCTCTTTATAGGAGAAAGACATAATTTCTTTACTGCGGGATATTAGAAAGGACACCAATAGTCTTGAGAAAGTTCTGACCTTAATGCAGAAAGGTAATAAAGATACCCTGCCTTTGTCTCCAATTTTACTAATGATGCTACAGATTCAGCCCACTGTGAGACCCTCAGCAAAGTGAGTTCTGGATGTTTTTCCCTGCTCTATGCTGTCTTTTGCTTTTTTCCTCCCCTCTGCTGTAAGAGGGAATGTTCTTCAGTGTTTAGATTAGGGGACTGAGAGCTAAGGCTTCTAGGTTATATCCCTGCCTTTGCAACTGATTGACTGTACCACCTTGCCATAAGAAAGTCACTTCACCTATCATTACCTCAGTTTCCCCATGTACACTTTGAAATGAGTGAACGTGACCAGAGATTCTCTGATCCAAGAGGATAGTCAGTTGGTCAGTATTGTTGGAGAATTGTATTATAAAATGAAATTACGGACAATCTTTTGGCGGCTGGGCTATAGTCTGTATACAATTTGGGTTATCAGAAAATGTCTGTATTACCTAAGGCAGTTCAATCTGTGGGCTGCTTGCAGCCCAATCAGCATGCAGCTGTGACCCATGTGACATTCTCAGAGCCATACAGATAGTATTTGGATGTGTCCCACAATGTTAAATTGATTGAGAACCTCTGGACTAAGGTTTTATTTTTATATGAGAATCTCAAAGTTATTTGCAAACAATTAATTACACTTCAGAGCACATCATGAGATTGGTAATAGAGATGTAGCTGTGTTAGTCTGGTCTTGCTGAAACAAAAGACAGGAGTATGCAACACTTTAAAGACTAACAAGATGGTTTATTAGGTGATGAGCTTTCGTGGGCCAGACCCACTTCCTCAGATCAAATTGTGGAAGAAAATTGGCATGACCATATATACCAAAGGGATACAATCAAAAAAAATGAACACATATGAAATTGACAAATAAAAAGTGAACACACATGATTTGTCAATTTAATGTGTGTTCAGAACAAATCTGATTTGTCAATTTCATATGTGTTCACTTTTTTTGATTGTATCCCTTTGGTATATATGGTCATGCCAATTTTCTTCCACAATTTGATCTGAGGAAGTGGGTCTGGCCCACTAAAGCTCATCACCTAATAAACCATCTTGTTAGTCTTTAAAGTGCTGCATAGTCCTGTCTTCTGTTTCATCATGAAATTGGTTAGTGTTATATCAACTTTCCAGGTAGGCAAAATAAGGCACAATGGTTAACTGACTTGCCCACAGTCACAAAATCAATGAAAGAGTCAAGATCAGAATTTAGGAGTCCTGACAACCAGAACCCTATTTTACCCACTAAATAACATTTCAATTTCCAACAAAACATACCAAAATCAATAGGAAAACGTCATTGACTTTCTTCTCTCTTCTTCTCTAGGGATCTGCTTGGTATTCCATACGTTATGGAATGTTTGGGTATTGCTGGTTCCTCTTTATCAAAACAGGAAAAAACTGTGCCTTCAGCAATTTTAGATGTGCTCCTTGAAGGAGGAATTGGAAGTGTTTTAGGTAATCAGGAAAATCAGTTGACTTTGAAGATACTTACATTAATTACATTGAAATGCCCAGGATATATTATACCACAGCAGTACACTGTACTAAAGAAATGAATGAATGGATGGGTACCCATTGTATGTGAAATGAAATGCAGCATTGTTTTGGACAAGAAGCTCTATGTCACCAGTCTTATAACTTGGTAAGACTAGTAACTTTTACCTACAGTGCTGTCTGAAGACGGTAAGAGAATGTTATTAAAAAAATATTTTGTTAGACTGAAGTCTGATTGCATTCTAGTTTACTACAAAAGCGACAAGTAGTCTTGTGGCACCTTATAGACTAACAGATGTATTGGAGCATAAGCTTTCGTGGCCAGAGACCCACTTCATCAGATGCATCTGACGAAGTGGGTCTTTGTCCACGAAAGCTTATGCTCCAATACATCTGTTAGTCTATAAGGTTTCATAGGACTCCTTGTCGAGTGAGTAGATCCAGACTAACAAGCTACCCCTCTGATAGTTTACTACAGTTAACCCTATTACAATATTCAATTAGAATGTTAATCAAAAAAAGTAAAGCTATACAAGTAAACTAAATTATTTAAAGTAGCAGCTTTTTCTTTTTAGCCAATAATACAATGTCATATTGTTTTTTAAATATAAATAATACATAACCTATTAACTTATAAGGAAATTAATGAGACAGCAACATTGTAAGGCTTGTGGCAGCTCCTAAAGGTATCTAGCAAGATACATCTTATATATGAAATGCTAGCAAATAGTCACAACTATGACATAGTAGGTACTACAGAGACTTGGTGGGATAATACACATGATTGGAATATTTGCATAGAAGGGTACAGCTTGTTCAGGAAGGATAGGCAGGGGAAAAGGGAGGAGGTGTTGTCTTGTATATTAAAGATGTAAATAGTTGGACAGAGGAGACAGACTTGTTGAGAATCCCTGAGTTAGGTTAAAAGGGGCAAAAAACATGGGTGATGTCATGCTAGGGGTCTACTATAGACCACCTAACCATGAAGAAGAGGTGGATGAGGCTTTTTTTAAACAGCTAACAAAATCAACCAAAGCACAGGAATTGGTGGTAATGGGGACTTCAACTATGCAGACATCTGCTTGGAAAATAACACAGCAGGGCACAGATTATCCAGCAAGTTCTTGGAATACACTGGAGACAATTTTTTATTTCAGAAGGTGGAGAAAGCTATTATGGGAGAAGCTGTTCTAGATTTGATTTTAACAAATAGGGAGGAACTGGTTGAGAATTTGAAAGTGGAAGACAGCTTGGTGAAAGTGGTCATGAAATCATATAATTCATGATTCTCTAAAGAATGGTAGAAAGGAGAACAGAAGAAATAAAGACAATGGATTTCAAGAAGGCAGATTTTAGTAAACTCAGAACTGGTAGGTAAGGTCCACTGGGAAACAAGACTAAAAGGAAAAAACAATAGAAGACAGTTGGCAGTTTTTCAAAGGGACACTATTAAAGGTGCAAGAGCACATTATTCCACTGCATAGCAAAGATAGGAAGTATGGTAAGAGACCACCTTGGCTTAATTAGGAGATCTTGAATGTTCTAAAAATCATAAATGAGTTGTATAAAAAGTGGAAACTATGACAAAGTTCAAAGGATGAGTATAAACAAATAACACATATGTAGGGGCAAAATTAGAAAAGTGAAGGCACAAAATGATCTCAATTTAGCTAGAGACAAAGAGTAACAAGAAAACATTCTACAAATATATTAGAAGCAAGAGGAAGAACAATAACAGGGTAAGCCCATTGCTCAATGAAGAGGGAGTAACAATAACAGAAAACGTGGAAATGGCAGAGGTGCTTAATGACTTCTTTGTTTCAGTTTTCACCAAGAAGGTTCGCTGGATGCCTAATGTAGTGAAAATGGGATAGGTTCAGAAGTTAAAATAGGAAAAAAAAAAACAAATTAAAAATTACTTAGACAAGCTAGATGTCTTCAAGTCATCAGGGCCTGGTGAAATGCATCCTAGAATACTCAACGAGCTGATTGAAGAGGTATCTGAGCCATTAGCTATTATATCTGAAAAGTCATAGAAGATGGGAAAGTTTCTAGAAGACTGGAAAAGGGCAAATATAGTGACCATCTATAAAAAGGGAAATAAGAACACCCAGGAAACTACAGACCAGTCAGCTTAACCTCTATGCCAGGAAAGATAACGGAGCAACTAATTAAGGAATCCATCAGCAAACATCTGGAAGATAATAAGGTGATAAGTCAGCATGGATTTATAAAGAACAAATCATTTGAAGCCAATCTGATAGCTTTTTTTGCTAGGATAACAAGCCTTGTGGATAAGGGGGAAGTAGTAGATGTGGTATATTTAGTTGTTAGTAAAGCATTTGATACAATCTTGCATGACCTTATCTCCATAATTGGAGCTATTAAGAGCAGGTTAGATAAACATCTGTCAGGGATGATCTAAATCAGGGCTTCTCAACACATGGCCTGTTTGTTTGCAGCTCACAGTGCAGTTTGGGTTTACATGGGGCTCAACATGCGGCCTGTAGGTGGGATCCTTTGAACATGGCCTCCATTGGGAACATGTTCCACAACAGCGAGGCATTTCCCAGGTGGAGTGAGCACTGAAAGACGCAAGCGGACAGTCTGGCTGGAACAGACGGGTACAGGGTGGTGGCATTTCTAGCTCCCGGGGAGGAGGTGGCAGGAGCGCTGGGGCATTGTGGGAAGTGCTTTTCCCGGGGAGGAGGTGGCAGGAGCGCTGGGGCATTGTGGGAAGTGCTTTGTATTCATGCCCATCAGTGTGAAAGAAGCTATTTGCATATATCTGCATATATATTTACATGTATATGCAACCACACTTAAGTTACAGCCCTTGGCATGTGCTGTGAGTATCATTGTGGCCCCCAGGGCTTCCCAAGTTGAGTAGCCCTGATCTAGATGGTGCTTGGTCCTGCCATGAGGGCAGGGGACTGGACTTGATGATCTCTCAAGGTCTCTTCCCGTTCTATTTACGATTCTGAGTCTGTTTTCTTCTTAAAATATCCAAACGACATGTATTGTCTAGACTATTCCTGATAGTTGTAGATGGGTTGCCATAGTCAAAAATAAATGTCTAGTTTCTAAAGCTTCATTAACCTGTTGGGCCTTAGTCCCCTCCTCTCCCTGAGCTTTACAGCATCAAAGATATTTGACTGAAGAAAATGTTATATATTTTGGGATCAGATCCATACTAGTGGAGTCAGCATGTATCCTTTGAATCTATTGGAGCTCTGTTGATGCTATCTGGGGATCTGCCTGGGAGAGGGTGTGGCCAGTTCTGTACTCCTAGAAGGGGTGGGGCTGGGAGCAGCCATCAGTGCTACCCCCAGCCAGGTCTCAGCTCTGACTGGGGCTTACCCTGTGGCATTCTGGCAGCAATGTAAAGGGCCCACCTTAGCTCTGACTGCTGCTATTGCCACAGTACAAGCAGCCAGGAGCCCTGGTCCCCTTTGAATTGCCAGACCCCTTTATCCCATCCCCCCCATAGGTCGGCCTTGTTCTGGACCATGGCTTTTGTCAGAGGTTTGAATGGAATTAACTTTAGTTTTGAATCTGCTGTGCACAAGATAAAAACTACCAAGTTCACTGCTTTTTAGTTCACTGCTAGAGTTCCCTAAAAGAGGAAATGGCATATGCATAGGTGGGGAAAAATCTTACCCTGTTTTGTTCATATGTCAACATACCTACTATTTTGAATATGAGAGAGAGAAACATTTTGCGATTTTAAAATGTTTTTTTTGTAGTTTTTTCAATTTGTTTTTTTAACCGAGTCTCAAGTTGAATTTTTTTCAGTTATGTGAATTCACAGGCTAAGTACAGATTAGGAAAACAATAAAATTATGAACATATCCTGCAAATATTTGTGAAAAAATGACACACAGAAACTTATATCTTGTTTTATGCAGAATTTATGCAGACTTACTGGGACATACAGAAGGCTCAAGCAAAAGCCATAAAGCGCCTTGCCAGCTTAGTAGGGGATGAAAATGGTGTGGGTCAGTATTTCAGCATTTTGTTTTGTTGTGTTCTTGCTCCCTGCTTGCCCTCAGAAAATAATGGAAAAACATACTGCATAACTGTATATTAGCCTGTTGGAAAACTGGGTTCAAAATCTGCCCTTGGTTACAACTGAATATGAGTGTGATTGGTCCCAAACTATTTTCCACTTGTGTAAATGTGGAAACAGCCTATAAATTTGCACAATTAGTTATCTATCTCTGTTGGGGAAAAGCATGGACTACAATAGCAGAGACACTGTTGGACAGGTTTGGAGTGCACTGGCGGAGCTGTGTTTGTGGAACAGGCCCAAAGATGCCATTCATCAAGGCTGGTATGTGTTGTCAGAAATCTGTGAGGTCCCAGGACTGTAATAATAGGGAGTCGGGCTGGTTGGAATTTTAATGCTTTGCAAGAACAGTGTGTTTACATAGCTTTTTCCTTCATTATGCCTAGTTCTCTGCAGTGCTATTAGGCAAATACTTTTATGAACTATAAATTCACTCTTTTAAACAAATTCCACTAATAGTACTGTTATTTCAAACTGTTACTACTTTTAACACTTGTATTTAGCTTTAATATTAAAAAAACATGTTTAAGATCAGGGTAGATATTAAAATGTAACAATTTACTGCTAAACTGTAAGCAATAAGGGGAACGAATATGTTTTTTTCATGTCCTCTACCAATATCTGTGAAGGATTTCAACTTAAAAGTGACTTTTGCCATTGAAACAGTGTGATTGATAAATAACAGTTTGAATAGGCATGGATAGAGCCTCCCTAGCAGTGATATAAGCAGAATTTGTTACAATAGATATTTACATCCCTGAGAATGCTTAGAATGGTTTTCAAGAGGACATCTAAGTTCCTTTGGACAATTTTCTATGTTTTGTGGGTTTGATTTGTACAGTATATAGACCAGAATAAACAAGTCATTGGTATGACATGTTAATTTGTACCAACTTTTATGCTTTTTATGTAGTCTGTTGTAAAAAATACTAATAACTAAATGAGTTGAGGTACCCTTTGGAAGACCTCTGCATACTTCCAGGGTATTCATATTCCTGGTTGAGAGTCACTGTCTTAATGTAGCCAGCCAAGAGCTGTGAATTACTTTCTAGGAGGAAAATGGCTCCAACTAACTTGAACAAAATGGCTGTTTGTAGCTGCTTTCATCTTTAATGCAGAGGGGCTGTCTACAAGACTCCTGGTCTCAGTGCGTAATGCTCCATCTTGATATGCACAGCTTTCCTTACAGATCAAGAACATTGTTCCACCATCTCTGCCTTATTATGTCGTGCACAGGAACCCAACCCAGCGTTTCTGTCCTAACGCTAGAAAGTCCATCTTGTGTTGAAGGAGGGAAGCATATAGACTGCTGAGCTATTCATAGTGGTATTAAATGTTTATTGTAACAATTCTGTTCTCCACAGCTTTAATATATTTGCTAGAATTGCTGGATCCTATCACTTGTGCAATGAGGAATCATATAAATTCTCCAGAGCTACAATTAGATGGCTGCAGATTATTGCTTGACATTATTGGCCAAGGTACAGTAATTGAGGTTCCATAGGAAACACTGATAAGCAACTTGTTACATGGAGCAAAAAAGAATTTAAATGAATATGTTGATAATATTCATAATATATTAAGGGGTCAATTTATAGGTACATGGGAATTTAGTCAGATATATTAAGGGGTAAATTTATAGGTACATGGGAATTTAGTCAGCCATGGGCATTCACGTTCTCTAAGGCATGTGGTTTGATTTTAAATCAAAGTAATGGAAATCAGCAAGAAAAAACGTCTTTTAATTCTGTTTTGCATTTGTCGTTTTTAGTAGTTTTTCTAAAGGATGATTCTCAAATTAGGTGGTTTTAACATTAAAACATGTTTGTTTACAGCTAAATACAGCCTTTATATTAAATTTGGCAATTTCATTAGCTCATCAGGAGGATAGCCTATATCTATCTGTACATATTTATTTAAACAGACATTTATTCAGATTCTTAATTTTAAATTTTTTATAATAGAAAATAACGAGGACTGCCAAGTGATTAAAATTAATCATGCAATTAAAAATTAATCACGATTAATCACAATAACAGAATATCATTCATTTAAATATTTTTGGATGTTTTCTATATTTTTAAATATATTGATTTCAATTACAACACAATACAAAGCGTACAGTGCTCACTTGATATTTTTATTACAACTATTTGCATAGTAAAAAACCAAAATAGTACAGTATTCTAAATTCTTTGAATAAAAATACTGTAGTGCAATCTCTTTATCATGAAAGTTGAACTTACAAATGTAGAGTGTGTGTGTGTGTGTGTGTGTGTGTGTGTGTGTGTGTAAAAATAACTGCATTCAAAATAAAACAATACAAGCCTTAGAGCCGTGTTCCTCAAAGTGGGCCATCCGAGAAAGCTGTTAATGGACCATTCTGGTTTGTTTGCTTATCAGCTCAGTTGCCTTGGAGCCTCATGGCTCCCATTGGTTGTGGTTCACTGTTTGCAGTTGAGGGGATCAGCAGAAAGCTACAAGGCCGCTCAGTGTTACTTTTTCTCAGCCAATTTCCAGACCAACAAGATTGTGTACATTTTAGCAGATAATTTTGCCGCCGCCTTGTTCACAGTGTCACCTGAAAGTGAGAACAGGCATTCATGTGGCACTGTTGTGGTTAGGGTTGCAAAATATTTATGGGTCACATGCACTAAAGATTCATATATCCCTTTCTCCTTCAACCACCATTCCTGAGGCCATGCATCCATGCTCAGGAGGGGTTCTGCTTTATAAGTCAAAGCAGCGTGGACCTATATTCATTTTTATCATCTGAGCAAGATGCTACCCACAGAAGGTTGATTTTCTTTTTTGGTATTCTGTAGTTTCCACATTGGAGTATTGCTCTTTTAAGACTCCTGAAAGCATGCTTCACATTTTGCCCCTCTCAGATTTTGAAGGACACTGCAGTTCTTAAACCTTGGGTGGAGTGCTTCAACTAACTTTAGAACTCTTACATTGGTATCTTCTTTGCATTTTGCCAAATCTGAAGTGAAAGTATTCTTAAAATGAGCAACATGTGTAGGGTCATCTGCTGAGGCTGAAATAACATGCAATATATGGCAGAATATGACTGAAACAAAGCAGGAGACCTACAATTCTCCCCCAAGGCCTTCACTTACATATCTAATTAATGCAACTTTTTTTACTAAGCGTTATCAGCATAGAAGCATGTCTTCTGGAATGGTGGCCAATGCATGAAGGGGTATATGAATGTTTAGCATTTAACTACTTTGCAATGCTGGCTACAAAAGTGTCGTGTGAATGCCTGTTCTCACTTTCAGGTAACATTAAAAAGTAGCCAATTAGCCCGTCATAAGATGGGATTTTCAGGTCATCTCTCCTGAGCTCTCGCTCTGTCTCTCTTTCCTCCTCCTGCCTCCTACCCCTCCTCTCAGCTCTCCTCTGCCTCAATGTTTAGCATTTAACTACTTTGCAATGCTGGCTACAAAAGTGTCGTGTGAATGCCTGTTCTCACTTTCAGGTAACATTAAAAAGTAGCCAATTAGCCCGTCATAAGATGGGATTTTCAGGTCATCTCTCCTGAGCTCTCGCTCTGTCTCTCTTTCCTCCTCCTGCCTCCTACCCCTCCTCTCAGCTCTCCTCTGCCTCCTGCCTCTCTCTCCGTCTCTCTTCTCCCCCTCCTGCCTCTCTCACTCCCTTTCTCTTCTCCTCCTCCTCCTTCCTCTCTCTTCCCTCCCGCCGT